ACTCGTATTTCCAGGAAGTCTCATTTCTTTCGACACCCAATGTGGGTTGATTCACTACTGAATTGGCTGCCCCATTCGGGACTACCAGCATTTTTGTTTTTCTGTCTCCTGTACGATCCGTTAAGCACCGCTCTCAGGTATAGCGGCATCCGATTCGTTGGAAAACTTGAAGTGCAGTATTTTTGTTTTCGATCGTCCATTTTCATGGCGGCGGTGGCGCTGCACCGACGAGAAAGGTACTCATGATGGCTATCCTTGAAATTCGGAGGACAGCGGACACAGAAAGGGTGGGGCAGGCTTTGGCTACGAAAATGACGGCGCGGCAAAACAATGAGGCTCATGGTAGGAGGGCGAGTAAAGACCAGTTAGATACTATGTTATGACATACCTTATCGCAGGCGGGCTGCTGCCAGCAGTCAACCGAGAAGGCGCACGTCTAAGCGAGCGAGTCACTTCAAACTCAAGCCCGTGCCGTCAAAGAAGACTGAACGAGAAATTGCCCAGGGCACACGTGTTGGACTAGAAATTATACATTTCGGAAGAAAAGCGCGTCACGCTGTCTAGAAGCGACGTCCCAGGCAGTCGGATGCGCACGCCCTCCCACCGCGCCACCGCCATCGCTTCCTACCACAAGAGAACGGTATCAAATCCCACCCACCCGCAGATCGTGACACAAAACAACAAAGGAGAGAAAAGAGTCGACGCCGCTGCGCTGCGACTGTGCGTTCGCAAGCCAGACAGACAGTCATCCAGAAGAAACACTCAAAAGGCTAAAGAGCAAGAACCAACAAGGAAACCCAAAACAAACCCAACGCGGACGGACATGACGTTTAGAACAGCGCAAGGCCGGCGGCAACCACGCCGGCAAGACCGACGATGGCGTTGACGCTGCCCTTGGCCGCGGCGCCCGTGTACAGCGGCGACGGCGCGGGCGTGGTGGGCGAGGAGCTGGCCGTGGCGAAGACGCGCGACGCCGTGGCGACGTCGACGATGGGCACGCCGCTGCCGCTGGGCGCCGGGCTGTGGAAGTGGACGACCGAGCCGTTGCCGGGCTTGTAGAACGAGGTGCCGTTCAGGGGGGCCGGGCTGGGGACGGCCTTCATGATGACAGTCGAGAGCTGGACATCAGGGGTACCGGCGGGGGAGCCGGGGGTTCCCTTGGGGGTGTGGACGGGGCCGTTCCAGGCGGGAGTGCCAGTGGCACCGGCAACGGAGCTGATGGCCGAGGGGGTCCAGTTGTCGACCTTGACGGCGCCAGAGTTGGAGGGGGTGGCCGTGCAGCTGCAGTCCGTCACGGTCTGGAGCTCAGTGGTGTACTGAGTGACCAGGGGCTTGGAGGCGGCAGGGGTAGTGGCAGGCTCGCTGACAGCGGACTCGGGAACGTCAACGGACGCAGAAGGAGCCGGAGTGTAAGAAGGAACGTCAACGGAAGCCGAGGGCTTGGAGTCCTTGGACGCGGGAGCCGAGGGAGCGGGGGTGTAAGAAGGAACATCAACCGAGACAGAGGGAGTCTGGGATTCAGCGCTCGTGGCAGGGCTCGTGGCAGGCGTCTCTGAAGGAACATCGACGGAAGCCGAGGGCGAGGACTTCTTAGACGCGGGAGCCGAAGGGGCAGGGGTGTAAGAAGGCACATCGACCGAGACGGAGGGAGTCTGGGACTCGGCGCTCGTGGCGGGCGTCTGCGAAGGGACATCGACCGAAGCAGCGGGCGAAGACTTGGAGGCGGGAGCCGAAGGAGCAGGGGTGTACGAAGGAACATCGACCGTTGCGGACGTCTTGCTCTCAGTGCTGGGAGCGGGAGTGTACGAAGGGACATCGACGGAAACAGAGGGAGTCTGGCTGGCCTCGCTGGTGGCGGGGGTTTCCGCAGGCACATCGACCGAGGCAGAGGAAGAAGCCTCCTCAATCGGGCAGACAGTGGTGCTCACATCGACGGTTTCAGTGACGGTGTGCTCCTGGGTTCCGCTGGTCGTGGTGCGAACGCGGGTGGAGCGGACAGTCGAAGTGGTGTAGACCGGGGGAGCAGGGGTCGTGAGACCATCAACCTCAGAGGAGGTCGTGGGAGCGGGCGTAGAGGACGCCGGGGCCGAAGGAGCCTCAGTGGAAGGAGCCTGGGTGGAAGAAACCTCGCTGGCAGGGCAGACGGTCGTGCTAATGTCAATCGTCTCGGTGACAGTGTGCTCCTGGCCATCGCTGGTCGTGGTGCGGACGCGGGTCGACTGGATGGTCGAGGTGGTCATGGGAACTGACGGGTCGACAGATCCAGCGTCGGTAATGGCAGGAGTAGGCTCCGACGTGGGGCTGGTGACAGTCCAGGCGGTCGAAAAGGCGCTGGACCATGCGGAACCCTCGGCGGTGGCAGAGCAGGACTCGGCGGCACTCTCGATGCAAGAGCAAGACTCGTCCCAGGTGGAGCTGAAAAGATCCAGGTCGAGATCAACGCAGACGTTGAGAGGAACCAGGTCAACACAGGCGGAAACCTTGGCCTCGAGGATGACCTTGTTCTTGCAACGGCACTCGGGAGTGTCGTTGATGCAAATGTCGGCGAGAGCGTTGATGAAGCACTGCTCACGGCATCCTCCGGGGTTGGGGGGCGCGACGCAAGACTGGCCGCAGGTGGTGATGCTCGAAGTTGCGAGCGTAGTGGCGGTGGTCGTGGGAGTACCACCAAGGTTGATGCCAGCCGTGGCGGCGACGCCAGAAGCCAGGCCAACGCCAGCAGATGCTGCGGCATTGAGGCCAAGGACGTCGGCACTGGCACCCAGGTCCAGAAGGTTGGCCGAGGCGCCAGAGGCGAGCACGGCGGCGGCAAGAGCTTTACGGTAGGCCATTGCGGGTAGGTTATTTTTTTTAGGATTAAGAATTAACGAGTGTAAAAATTAATCGACGAGCAATCCCGATCCTTTCAAAAGAGTGAAGAAGGTCGGAAAAAAAGAATAGGGAGTGCCCGGTTGGAGTGAGGTGGGTGAAGAAGAGAGCAAGACGGCAAGGAGAGTCAGGCCTCTATATAGACCCAGCGACGAAGGACAGACGAAGACGATCACAGCCATGGCATCTGGGGGCCGACGAATCACGGGCGAGTGGCAACGACCTGGTGGTCTCATTAGCAGAGGTCTCTGGGAGCGCCGGTCGCTACCTGTTCCTGGGCAGTGTGGGAGGCGGATCCCCATGATGGAGCTCGATGGAGCTTCTAGATGGGCGAGCAGGGGCACGAGGGGGCCGCAGCGTATCGGCGAGGAGCCCCATCAGGATCAGGGGGTGAGGACAGGGACGAGGTGACGTTGGAGTCGTGGTCGTCGGCAAACGGCAGCTTCGGGCCGCAGCGCTCCACTCGGGCAATTGGCCCGTGCCGACAAATGAGCGGCCCTCTTTTTGGCAACCCATCTCCCCTTTTCATCCACCGCCCTCGAAATTGCGCCTCATCGACGCTGCTCCGACCACGCCAGTAATCACGATCTTCGCCTCGTCTCCTTTTCCTCGCCAGAGCCCGCCCCGTCCAATGACCCCGAGCCTCGAATAGCCCGAGGCTCGCGACGCCCGAATACGCCGTGCCTTGAACCGCTTCACCAGCGACTGCTTGCTGCATTCTTGGTGCGTATACGAGGATGGATGAACAAGGATCACCAGATCGATTCCGGGGTCTCAATAGCTTCTCTTTCAAAACCATCGCATCTCGAATCTTCAACCTCGCCGGCAACCAACGACGGCGGGCTGCCAAGACCAATGGACTCTGTGCTCACGAGCTTTGTTGGAGAGACACGACCCAGAATCCGGTGAGAGGGCACATCTCCGGCCCGGCAAAAATAAGTCGAGGCGGGGAACGGGAGCTTGGTCTTTCATTGGCGTCTGTTCTTCCATTGCCGCTCCAGACAATTGGCCTGCCGACTCTCTTCCAGCAAGCGCGCGACAGTCTCCATTTCGCCAGTCCATCTCGCCAGACGGAAGGTATCAATTTTGATTCTCCTGCTATTGTTTTTCATCTCGGCGCGGATACTGCGTGGCAGATTTTCCAGTCTCCTTCTTGTTCTCTCTCTGTCATGTCCGTCGTATACGCCCCAATTCGCTCGCTTTCGAATACGACCCATCCAGCGTCCCGGGCTCCAATATGCGTCTTCCAATTCGTAATGGGACACATGCTACCTGTCTCAGTCGTAACGGCATTTCCACAACTCACCGCCGAGTGCTGCTTGGCCACAGCAACCATGGTCCAGCCCAAAGTCGTCCCTTCCATGATGCGGCAAAGTCCGAGCAGCAATTGAGCAGATTCTGTGATTGAAAGCACAGCCGCAGCAACGACGAGCGGGGTCTCGGACGGACCAGTGTCCGCGTGGCTGATTGACGCTCGAGCCACCGGGAGATGTTGACGGACGCCTCCTTCCTGTGCGAATAGTTCACCGCATCTTCTCGCTCGTTCTGGACTGGATGGATACCCTTGATCTGTCTGTGTTGTCGTCGAGGTTGCTGTCTGCAATAGCCATGGTTTCTCCGGAACGCTACCACCCCAGTGTTCGCCGACTTCTCACACCTCCTCTACTCTTCCTGAAAGACCTCTCGCTGCACTTCATCATCATCGCGTGATGCTGGTGCTGTCCCTGTTGTCACAAAAAGCTCACCTCCAGTTGCAAACCTCAAAAAGAAACACCACTCTGTTCCATCGCCGAGAGTCGAACTCGGGTCTCCAGGCAGACTCCTCGCTTGCGCAAGCCAGTCACCACCACGCAACACACCAAAATGCTCAGCTTGTACGGCTACAAAGAGGTGACACGCTCGTGGGCAATGCGGCGTGCGTGAATATTTGGCCTGGCGTGCTGCCACTGCACCACGATGGATTGATTGTTGAATGAGTCTCCGCTGGCGGAGTATATATGGCCTCGCTCGGCACTCTGGGTGAGGTGAGAAAGCCGATATCAAGCCCTCCAACAAAGGAAGCCACCACCGGCGCCATTTTCAAAACGACCACTCCCTATCCAAACACCAAAAAAGAAAAGACGAGCAGGCAGTTCCATCGCCGAGAGTCGAACTCGGGTCTCTAGACTGACAAGCTCGAAAGCAAGCCCGCACCACGCAACGCGCAACACCGTGAACAGCAGCCATTCAGGTTTCCCTTGTAGCTCTTATCTCAGTGGGCGGCACGCTCGTAAGCAATGCGGCGTGCGCGCATGTTTGGTCTGGCGTGCTGCCACTGCACCACGATGGATGGATGGATTGATTGTTGGATTGGGAGTTGCTGGTGGATTATATGACTGTCTTTGCTCGGGTCCCTGGGGCAGGTGATTGTCGCAGACGCGCGGGTACTTCCTACATAAACGAAGAAAGAGCACTCTGAACCTGACCGCCAAAAGAGACAGACAGACTCGTCCATGGCCGGGAGCCGGACTTGCGTCTCTACTTACCCTACCTTACTCTCCAGGCAGACTCGTCAGCCGGTGGCTTGCGCGTTGCGCCATTTAGTCTACCTACGCCACGCAGCGCAGCAACCTGCTGAGCGTGAAGCCAAGGATGGATGAGCTGCGCTGACGATGCAGCAGCTCCCTGACAATTTCAACGTCTGCGCCGCAAGAGGAAGAACGCGCTGACGACGCACAGCAGCACAGCGAGGCTACTCGCGCTGGCGAGTACTCCGGCTCAGTGGAGAACGACGCGGTAAGTATTCGACCGCTACTTCAGGGCGGATACGTAGATCGGTAGGTCAGTAGGATAGGGGAAATTCTTGGTTTTGTTTGTGACCATGCCGCGTCAGCACCATCTCCCTCTTCATATCAGTCAGTCTGCATGTAAAGAGGATGGGACGGGCATGCCTACTACTCTTTCCCACCACTCTATTTTATTCCTTGCCATGCTGTTCGATAATAAATAAGAAATCTGAGCTTGCTTTCCACTTACGTGTGTGTCTTGCATGGTTTGGCTACTTAGGTAGGTGAACTAGATTCAGAGAAGACGGTAAATATTATCTTTCTACTTTCCTCGTTTCCGTGGCGTAGCTGGGATTAGACGCGCTTCATGGCGGCCTCTACTCAAGGCAGCGGGACGGGGCTTTTTCGACTTTGCTGAAAGGAGAGAGGAGAGGGTGTAGTGGAAAGCAGTAGCTAGGAATTTTATCTTTAGATGGCAAGGTAGGGTGTTATTTGTTTGCTATTGCTTCATATCAACAGTGACAACGCGGCCGCATAATTCCCTTCTTACTTCACTTCTTTTCCTCGCTGTCATCCAACAACGAATCCTACAATTCAAAACATTCCACCGGCTCTTAACGCAGGTCGTCTTCGATGAGCAAGCATGGAGTAGGCTGCTAGTTTCTTCCTTACTCCCCTGTCTACCTGCCTACATACCGCCGAATGACAGCGCCTCACATACAACTACCACGACATGACGCGCCGCCGTGCCGTGCACAGCGAACATACGCTTCGTGCAGTCAGCAGCGGCGGTGGTGCAATCGAGTCAGAGGGCGGGATCACCGGCTCACTCGCCAGTGGATAGATAGATATGCTAGGTTGTCGCGTGGTGTGGACAAGGCAGCACGCTAGATGTCATGCCGGACCGGCGCAGCAAAAGGATAGGCAGGCGAGGGGACAGTGGTAGGGAAGGATGCCGTATGCTAGGGTGTGTCAATCTTTCAATCAGCCTGTCAGACGGCATAGCCTTTTGACTTTGGTTCCTGGCGCTAGGCGTGTAGCTGAGGTAGTTCCTCAGCTTAAGGTTCCCAGGTACATGTTTGTCAGCTGAGGCGCCAGGCACATAGGTAGGTGTCCGGGTATCCCAGATCCCGGGACGGGATGCGCGCAGCAGCTGGCCGAAAGGCAGAAAGGAAGGCTGGCTGGCTGGCCGGTGCCCACCTTACCTACATGATCTAGTCCAAGGCAACGCACCGCACCGCGCCGGGCGTAGGACGATTGCACGAATGAGCGAGTCCACAAGCTAGCTGACGAGCCGGGCTGTTGATCGTCGCGCGGTGAGGCGGTGACCAGTTGGCGCAATCAATGGATTCGGCGCTGTTTGGCAACAAAGAGGCGCGAAGACAATGGTTGGCTGACTGACTAGCGGGCTCACGAGCAGGGGAATGATGTTAGATCCGGGGACGGCGGGCTGGCTGGGGTTTGTTTGTCGCCGCCTACCTACCTACCCAGCAAGCTCGCTAGCTGGCATCCTGCTCTGGCAGCCAACCCAAGATATGAGCGTAGTTGCAGTAGTGCAATGTGACGGCGTCGCCGTGGCGGTTTCGAAGACGCGAGAGATGTGTTGTTGGAGCGGCTGGTTGGTCGTTGGCCGTTGGTCGGATGGCGCGCTCGATGGTATGTGTATATCCAGTAAGTAGCAGTACACTATTGGTCTCGCTGACACTGCTGGATCGAGACTGGCTTGAGATGATGCGGCGCTTTTCGCGACGCGGAGGGGAAACATTGCGGACCGCGGCTGAGGGTTGGTCGTGTTTCAGTATTTGCACTGCAGCCTCTCTGTCGGCCGCTCACGAACGACGCTTGTTGTTGCAATTCGCCTGCGGGGCTGCATGTCGAACCGCATGCGTTGGGAGATTCCAACTCCACGGAGGTCATCCTGGGAGCAGCTCTCGTCGGACCGCCAACAAAATTGCATCATGCGTTTGGTGCTTTGCCACAGGGGCAAGACCAGGACAGAGAGGTGTTTGCCGGGAAGAGCCCTGCATGCTGTGTCGTCGACAAGCACCACTAGGGCACGGCAAGAGATCTGCAGTCTTCGAGGGTTGGCGAGACCAAGTCGTGCGAATGCCGTTTTCTTGTCGCGTGGCGGCGCTCGTATGTATTTGGTGATTCGGCACCACCACCACCACCACCATATCGGCGACGGGCGAGTAGCAGGGCAATGTCATGAAATGTCTCACACGGCCCTTTTTGGAATGTAGCACTGTGCCAGTCAGAGTGAGGTGAGGCATTGGTAGGATGGTTTCACGAGACCGGAATTGGTCTACCACGTTGATCAGGGGATAGCTGTCGCACGAGAGCGACCCAGCGATCAAGACTGCGGGCGTGGCGCGAAAGAAGTAGACAATGAAGACTGGGTGTGTGATGTGGTAGAAGTGCGCGGAATGGGCTGGACCGAGTGGAGAGGAAGGATCGAGGAGAATGCAGATGCGGCACCGGTGCTTTTCGCGACGGCCGTAGATTTGCGACAGGCTCGTACTCGGAGAGTTGCCGAGGTCGCGAGGCTTAGTCGGAGAGTGTTTTTTCGGTGTAGGATAGAAACGTGGTGTCGTTGAATGTCTTTGATTGAGTCGAGGTGGAGGGAAGGCGGCCAAAAGCAGGGAAAGGGAACTAGCGGGACGGTCCATAGATGACGCACTCAACCTTGGATAAAGTGTGGCAGACGGGCCGCCTATTGCATCTAGCAGCACAGGATTGCGGGTCGTCGAGTGTTGAGGGTTTGAGGCGTCTCATTGGAAAAGCAACGACTGGACGGCGTGTGAGGATGTGGGAGCTAGAGAGGTGAGGTGCGACGCTGGCGAGAGAGGTGTTGGTGAAGGAGATGGACGTTGACGGACGAGAAGGTTGGGCAGCGTTTTCGAAGGAATGATGCATGAAGATGGAGATGGTGATGGAGATGGAGAAGTGGAGTCGAGTCGAGTCGAGTGGTGGTCGGTTGACGGGCGGTCCGTCCCTGGCGATCCAGCGCCACTGCGCAAGTCGTCGGCCTCTCTCCACCACCTCACCTCACGACACCCATCAACACCACACCATCCATCGCCACGACATCCATGGCCATCTGCATCCCAGCCGCATCTTCAGCCATCGACTGCAAACCCGCCCTAGTTCAGACTCGCACAGCGCCACGGCATCCTCGTCGCGGCCCACGGCCCACGGGCGACGGCTGGCCGACCTGGACGGGTGCCACACCTCCTTGCGTGCCGCCGTCTTTGTCGACAGCTGACCCGTGGCGAGCATGCAAAAGCAACGCGACACCGAGGCCATCCTGGTTGCTGGCGCCGGGAATGGCATACACACAGCCTGCATTCCTGGCCGCGCCCTTGTTCCTTGCCGGCGACTGGACCTGACCTGGCCTGAACGCTCAAAATAATCCACCCACCGCATGGTCGTCGGTCGTCCCGCCGCTCAAAACCAAAACACTGTCGCCTTTAGGACGTGCCACTATTACCGTCCGGCGCAGTCCATCTTTGCTGCACGTGGACTAGGGCCTGCTCCGCTGTGCTACTCTCGCTCTCGCTAATCCCGCGTCTGTAACCCAGCCCTCGAGAGCACAGGACGTGCTCATCTAATTGTACAACCACCCTATGCACCCGCTGCCGCCAATCTGATCTGCCCAAGGCCAACGGTCGCCGCCGACGCACTCTCGCTCTCACGTCCAAAATCGCCCGACTTTCCGTCTGGTTATTATCCACCTCTCTGCCTTATCCAGCCGCGCCCACAACCTCTCAGCACATGTCCCCAACATTGCCGCCTTCGTGACCGAGGCCCACCATGCCTGGCGGCCTACATCCCCCGGCTGATCTCTACAGACAATGGCAGACGGATGACTTTCCTCACGGAGAGCGCAGAGACTGGTCCATTGTCATCATCGTCACCTTCTTTGGCTTCCTCGCCTACGCCACCGTTGCCGCGCGATTATGGGCTCGAGTCATTGTCAATCGCAACTCTGGCCTCGACGACGCCCTCATTGTAATAGCTCTGGTCTGTCAACTCTGGAGTTGCCGGGGCTTGCGCTGACGGGCTCAGATTTTCACCTCTGGACTTGCAATATCTGTAATGCTAGGTCAGCGACTCTCCCCGTCCCTCGAATCTTCTAACGTCCTCCAGGAAGTCGACTCTATGGTTTTGACCGACACGTTTGGGATCTTACTCCAGCAATGGGCGTTCAGTCGCGCGAGGCAAGTCTGGCGTCAAAATGGCGATCAAAACTAACAAATGGCAGATTACAATGGCCATCGAAGCCACATATATCATCGCAACAGGCATCACCAAAATCTCCATCCTCTGCTTCTACCGGCGCATCGCGTCGGGCACCGTCGCCAACTGGTTCCTGTACGCGACCTGGGCCAGCATCGCCTTTGTCGTTGCCTACATGATTGCGTTCCTCGGAACCCTCTTTTTCGGCTGCAGCCCCATCAGCGCGTTTTGGAACCAAGTCGACCCCGAGTGGCTCGTGACCAACGACGGCAAGTGGCACTGCATTAATGAGCCCGGCAACCTGCTCGCCGCCAGCTCCGTCAGC